AGTTGAGTGTTGTAAACCAAGCTGACAAACTGTTAGATACTGTTGGTTCTTTCCTCTTGCCTTGACACATATACCTTTATACGACCTCAAAGGCAGGTGATAAATCTGCATCCTTGGACCCTGGATCGTGCAGCGTCGTGAGTGTGAGGCCTCAGCCCCAATCGTGGCCCTCCCTCTTTCTTTTCCCACCTGAGGACCCTTGTGCTGAGGCGGGAGCACCCCAGACCAAGAGTCCAACCTTCACCCACACTCCACAGACCAGGAAAGAGGCCAGCATGGTCCTGAACACGGGCCATCTGGCCAAAAAATTTCTGAGCCCTATTGTTGGAACATGGAGTAGAAGAAAAGGATGTAACTGTGGGTGGGCAGGTCCCCTGCCCCGCTGGTCACCCTCCCTTAAGGAAGCCCAGAGCCGGGCTTTCTAAAGCATAGGGTCCAAGGCAGGCCCCCTTACCCATGTACGAGGGAGGACCCTCCAAAAGGAATTCATTTATTAAAAACTGTATTTATTCTTCCATGTTTAAACTTCAGTCACCTTCAAAGTACTCTCCATTTGCTGGAATACACCTATTGAGACTTCTTTTCCACTGCTCAAAACAGTTTTTGAACTCATTGATTTTGATGCCTTTTGGTGCTTCTTCCATTTTTTGTTTCACCTCTTCCACATCAGCAAAACATTTCCCTTTGAGGACTTTTTTCATCCTGGAAAACAAAAAAAAAAGTCACTTAGGGTGAGATTGGGTGAATAGGGAGAGTGGGGCATGGGTATCATGCCATTTTTGGGTCAAAAACTGCTAAACACTCAGTGTGGTGTAGCACATGCATTCATATATCACCCATCATGAAATGGGCAAATGCATTGAAAGAGTCTTGAAAAAAAAATTCACTGAAGCTGAACGCAGCCTCTCACAACAACGCCAGCTGGTACACTGATACAGATGGGTTCCTAGAACACTCACATAGTGGGGGAAGCCTGTGCTACAAGAGGCCCACCCTCCAGAAGTTATTCCTTTTTTTGAGGGGTTCCTTCTTGTATATGAACAGTATTATTAAAATTATTTCTATTTTATAGATGAAGTTGCTGCAGCTCCCTGCAGCTGTGAGTGACTTCTCACAGGCACACACCAGTAACCAGAAGAGTCAGGACTCAAACCCAGGTCTGTCTGCCCATAGATCTGCTGCTGCTCCCCTTCCCAGTGCTGCTTTTCCCATTGACCACCACCAGCTGGAAAGGGCAGTGAGCCATTTCTTGCTGTGGGTCTGGAATTCCCTTGCCTCCCACTGCTGGTAAAATGGATACATTCTCTTTATCTGTCTCCTTGCTTACTATCTTGTCCCCTTATCCCCCCAGCTTCTCTGGAATATAAAAGCCCTGGCAGGCTCTCCTCTTAGCCCTTCACCTTCAGGGTCATGTCCACAGACCTTACCTTGGCCCATCACACTCTCTTGAACTCTTCTCCTCAGCCACACTGAATCCCTCTCTGTCTTCAACACACCGTTGCAAATGCTATTTCCTCCTCTGCCACGCTGTACCTCAGGCCTCCCCGCCACCTCTCCTAGCCAGCTCCCACTCATCTTCCGAATCTGGGCTCAGATGGCAGCTGCCCCCTCCCCAACTCCAGTTCTGAGGTGGCTGCTTTTTGCATTATTTTCCTACTCTAGTAAGCTGCAAGCACAGTGTCCCCATACCTGGCATCAGGTAGCACAGGGCAAGCCACCCACACTGCTCGTTGAACTAATGGGCTCCCTACATGATGGAAACCTCCTACGATTTAGCTTGATTCAGTGCTTCTCCCTACCCCTTCCCCCGTGATAATAAGGGTAAAGAAAAGCCATTCCTGATACCAGCATCAATGCCAGATGACAAACATTTCATGGATCCTCTTGAAATGCTGGGTCCCCGGATAGAGAAATCCCTCCCAAAGGCAGAGGGTAGAAGCTAGCGGACTCCAGCCCAGGACTGCAAGCTGTAATTGCTCCCTGGAGCAGGGGAGGGTACCATCTTCATGTCCTCCATACAATGGAGCCAAACAGAAATTTGTCCCTTTCTTCTCTCATTCCATCACATTTGAATCACCATGAGGGATACCCAGGAGCCTTAGACAATGGGGTTTGCCCTTGAGCAACTTAAAGACTCCAGTGGAAACAGGTAAGACTAATTTAGAGAGTGTTTTGTGCTGTGGGAGTGCCAAGAAGGCAGAGACCCCACTCAGCTGTGGTGCCTTCTCTGTCTTCCTCTGGGGGGAAAATGAGTCCTTACAATGGTCTGCTGGGTGCATGGGATGTGCCCTGGCCCCCCCACCCAGTCACCTCTCTGGCATCATCTCCCATAGTTCTCCTCGCTGCCCTGCTCACTGCACCCCAGCGTGAGGCCCCTTGCTCTACCCTGATTGTGGCAGGCGTGTTTTGCACTGGCTGCTTCCTCTGCCTGGAACACCCTTGCCCCAGATACCTCATGACCAACTCCCACATCTTCTTCAAATCTTTGCTCAAATGTCACCTTGTTAATCAGGCCATCCCTGGGCCGTGGGGCACCCTCCATCCATCACTGGGCTCCTACCCAGCCTCATATATAAAAGGCAGCTCCATACAAAGCAGGAGACATCAGGTACCCCAAACACCGGGCCATCTTTTCTTTGTAGTAGTGTTTCTTGAAGTTGCTAGTTACAAAAACTACTCATTGTAGAAAGCATAGGGAATGAATGCAAGTCTATGGAAGAACTGTAAAATGCTCTGTTATCCTGCCCCACAGAGGTAACCACAGCTAATATTCACATATACCCTCCCACTCTTTTTTTCTGTGCATTTAAAGGAATTAGATATTAGAATTAAAGTTTTCATAATGTCTTATTTAATTAGATATTTGGTATTCCAGCCTTATTTACTTAGCATGAAAACATTAGCATTTTCCTATATCATCAAATATTTGTTTGAAAATATTATTTGTATGACTACATATCATCCTATGCTAGAACTCTACTGAGAACTCATTCAACCACTGTGTCTGGTTAGACATTAGAGTTGAGACTATTCCAACAGAGACCCAGCTCTTCCTCTTCCTTCCTTTGCTGACTCTCCTGGTCCTTGTCACTGATCACCCTCCTGTGCAGGCATAAGCCAGACAGGATGGGAAGCATGAGGCTAAGACCCATCCCTGCCCCGGATGGGTTATCTGTCTGTGTGAAGAGGGAAGGCTATGTGTTCACGAGAAAGCAGCAGCAGGAGCCCCATGCCAAATGAGGGGCTAGGAGGCTGAAGATGGGAGAAAGCACTTCCGATGGGGTGGGATGGCTCCACCAAGAAGATACTGGAGCACTTACCACATGCTCAGGCCAGAACACACTGGCAAGCACTATTCAGCACATGGCAGTGTGGCAAATGACAGCCAGCTCAGAAGGATGCCCAGTCCCCAAGTCTGGACAGAGAACCTTTAACCTGCAAACATAGTTTCTGCCACCTGGAGCCCACAGCCCCTGGAAGGATATATACTAATCAAGTGACCACACAAATAAAACAACAGCTGGTTCATGAGGTAGGTGAGGCTGTAAGGACATGTAACCTGGGGTCCTCTCAGGAGGCAGAAGTGCAGCCAGCCCTGAGGAGGAGCAGGTGTGTAAAAGGACCCGGAAGAGTATCTGTCTGGAAAGCAGAGCATCAGCACAAGGCGAGGCCCAAGAGATGGGCAGAGTTGGACCATTCAGTCCTGGTCAACCACACCTGGGATTTAATGCTGGGAAGAATGGGAACTGTTGGAGGGCTTTAGACACAGACAAACCAGGATCAGATTTCCATTTTGAAGAGTTTTCTCTGGCTGTGAAGGAGTCACCAGCTAAGAGGGAGACAGGTGGGGAGCCAAGAGTGGGTGCAGGGCATCAACAAAAGGCTGTTGCTGGAGGTGGGGCAACCTGATGGTGACTTGGGCCTGGGCAGAGGCAGAGGGGATAGAAGAAGGGGAGGATGAGGTCAATATTTAGGAGCTGGAATCAAGAGGTTGAGTGAATGCTGTGACTCCCCCAAAGACCCCTGTTTAAGTACACTTGCTAGCTGAGAAGTATTAACCTGCTAGCATGAAGAGATGCCCACATTAGCAGGCTGTCTCTTTACACTAAGTCCATTACCAGAGGTGCTAGTGAAGGGGGCAAAGAAGGAAGTGGGTAAAGGGCCCCATGGGCAGATGAAGTGAAGGACACAGGCACCAGGGGGCAGCACAAGAATCTTGGTGCCCAGCCCCTGCAGAAAATAAGACCAGCCACTTCCCACTGAACCTGGGGTCAAGTCACTTTGCAGCTTCTTGTTAAATGTGTGCATCTGTCCATGGAGACAAGGATACCTGTCCTGCACCCCCAGTGCTACTGTGAGCATGGTAGATTAGATAACTTTGAGGGGCCTGCCAACCCAAAGCATCTAGGGAAGGAACTTGACCATGTCTCAGGCTGCCCTGAGAATGAGGCCAACTTCTAGTAATTGAGGTAGAGCCCAGGGATCTGGACTGGAGACCCCTGTCTGCAGTCAGGATTGATCCTAAAGGCCAAGATGGGGCAGCCCTGGCTGCTGTCCTGTGTGTGTCTTAGGTGCCTGGAGCTCTAGGCTCTCTGGTGGAGCAGCAGCTAGATTTAGACTGGAACCATCTCTGGTGGTTGACAGAGCACATAGTATTGTATGCCATGAGGCACCCTTGTGGTTTGTGGGAAAAACACATGCTTTGGGGCAGGTCCCTCCAACTACTCCCAGCTGGTCTGGGAGACAGAGCTGAAGAATGTGTTTTCTGCTTTACTTCTGGTTTCTCCTTAGCCACTCTGAGTCTCAGTTTCCTCATCTGTAACCTGGAGACGCCCCCCTGTGCCAGCTGAGTCGCTCTGACAGTGTGGCACACGTTAGGCACTGGGTAATGGGAGTTGCTGCTGGTAGTTTGAAGTCAAGCCTCTTGTGGGTGGAGTGTAAGCTCTGGATTTGGCGACGCCTGAAGAGGGTTCTTCTGCCCCCTCCACGCAAGCAAATTGCTGACAGTGGCAAAGCCACGTTGCCATGTTTATGGGAAAACTGCTTTGGTTTCGGGTTTAAAAGAAAAAAGATACTTGGGTTTGGTTTCATCTAGGGTTTGGCAAATGCGTGTGGCTGGGCGGCCGCCTGGATGCAGGTCCGGGAACGTGCAGCTAGCGGGGCGTTAGGACCCGGAGCGCGTCTCCCGGACCCGGCGAGTCCAGGTCCGGGAGCCGCGGGAGGAGAGGCATGAATGAGAGGCTGGAGGGGTTCTCGGCTGAAAGGGCTGGCGGCGGAATAGCTCTGCCGTCGCCAGGCAACCGTCCTGACGCAACGAAAAAAAAAAAAGTCCCTTAAAAAAAGAATAGTGCTGAGAATTCACGGGAGCACGAGAGAGGAGGCAGGAGCCGGCTTAGCCCCCCGAGGCCGGGGCCAGAGGCTGCGGAACGGGAAACCCGCGTCTTGAGGAGGAGGCGGGGACCTCGGTGACACCCCCCGGACGGGGCCTCTAAGCACCCTGCAAGGTGGGTTTATGGCAGCGGTGGGAGGTTCCCTGGGCTGAGAATCGGACTGGTGGTGATGCGGCTGTTGCCGGCAATGCTGGCTGGGGAGGGGGCTCCAGCGTGCAGGTCTCCTAGGCAGCAGTGGCAGGGAGCAGCCTACCTGGATCTGCGGGAGCTCCCATCTCAGAGCGCCCTGGAGTGGACACCCATTCCTGGGGCTCTTCCCTGGGGTGAGGAGGGGGTGTGGGACACGCGGCTGGACACCATCGCCCATCTCTCAGGAGCCCCTTCCAGGCTAAGATCTGGGTGGAGAATTGGGGTACCAGGTCTCAGAGGGGGGAGCCCCACTCAGTCTTTCCAGGTCTATTCCCAGACTGGGGGTCATCTCCAACACATCCTGTCCCTTCTGTCTACTTCAGATTCAGTGACAGGGAAGTTCCTGCCCCAAGGATGGTATTTGTAACTCAGGAGAAGTGACCGAGGGTGTTTGGGCCCAAGGGTGCTGCTCTGTAGGGCTGAGGCTCATGTGATCCGGGGAAATGCACAACCCGAAGGGCCCTCAGGAATAGGCAGATCAGCCATGAGGTTGGGTCACTAGGAGAGGGCAGGACGTTCTGTGGTCCCTGGGGGGTGGGCAGGTATGTCCGTCCACCAAGTCAGATTGGATGTTCTGCTTAAAACAAAAACAAAAATAAAAACCCTAGTGCTTGTTTCTGGTTTTCATGCCCCTTATTGTATGGTTTCTCCTGAGAAGGACTGGAAGGCAGGTTGATTTCCAGGAACTCCCAGCCATTCCTGGTGAGTCCCAGGTGGGATGAGCCCAGGTTATCCAAAGTGCCCAAGGGGGTGAGGCTCTAAAGCAGCTTCCCTCTGATAGACAGTCCTGCTGCCACCCCCCACCCCCGCCTCCCCGGGCCCAGATGGAGAGTGGACAGTGCTAGGCAAAGTCCTGGGAGAGCAGAGGTGGCCGGGGCACCCCCAGCCTGACTGCATCCACAGGATGGGAGCTGCTGCCAGTCCGCTGTAAAGGAGCTTAGCCAAGCAACCACGAGCTGCATTTGGAGTAGATAAAGATGACAGCTCTTCTGTCTTGAGTGCATTTACCAACCAGGCACTGCTTGAGAAGCCTTCACATCTGTTGGTCATTTTATCTTCACAATTGCCCTTCCCGGGGACGTAATATCCCCATTTTGCTGACCAGCTCCAAGAGATTTAGTAACTTGGTGCAGCTCACATGGCTGGGGAAAGAGCAGAGATTCAGCTTCACATGCCTGACTCCTAAGCCAGTGCTCTCAGAGGATGGCTGCTTTGGAAGATCCAAAGAGAGAGGCCCAGAGGGGGCTAGAAACCAGTCTCACCCAGAGCTGTGTGACTGGCTTGTCCTGTGACCTGGGAAGGTCCCTTGACATCTCAAGAGAACCTGTGGATCCAGGAAAACCATTTCTTGCAGCAGAAGTTGGAAAGTCTCTGTAACTGGGCCTGGTTTGCTTTAGTCCGCTAGCCTGAAAGTGGAGAGCAGGGTCCTCTCTCCCTCTCTCCTCCGTTGCTCACCCAAAGACCCCCAACTTTCCACGCACTTGTTCTCATTTCATCTTGTTCTCCCAATTACATGCATGGATTTCCACTGAATTATCAGGCTGGCTTCTGTACTCACCAGCTTGGCCCCCCTCTGGTCGGGAAGTAAATTAAGGCAGTGCCTAAGTATTTCCTGAGATGGATCCACAGAGCCCCAGATCAATGAGGAAGAACCTGCTTGTTAGGCTGCTTACAGACTTTGGTGGCTTTCTCTAGGCAAATTTTGCTAGCGGGACCTCTCTTGGCTCTACACCAACATCTGGAATTCCCACCACCCCCTGCCAATGACTCTTCACTTGGCTGGGATGTTGAGTTACTTGCAGAGGTGTAAGATGAATGATAATCCGAGCAGCTCACTCCCTGGTTTACAGCCTAGGGGTGGGGACGTTCTCGTGAATTGGAAGTCCTTTAGGATTAATCAGGATGGCTCTTGAAATGCACATGGAGCCTGGGGTTCCGATAGGGGAGAGGAGTAAGGAAGGCAAGGCAAATTCTGAAGCAGGCCTTGAAGGGGTGAGGACGCGCTACCTGAGAGCAGTGGGCCTGGGAGCAGGGTGAGACGGGAGGTGGGAAAGGGGCTTAGAAGGGGGTGGCTTGTAGGCCTGGCTAGCTTTGCAATCAGCCTGCAGAGTGTGAGCTGCCACAGAGGGTCAAGTTGCCAGTATGAGTTGGGAAGGTTACAGATATCAGCTTCTCCATGGTAGGACAGTGGCCCTGGTGCATGAACGCCCAGCACCTCCCCTCTGACCTCCATCCTGTCCCAGTGTGCACACAACTTCTCTCTGGATAGGAAGGGGGAAAAGGGAGAAAGAAGGTGGGCAAGAGGAGAACTTAGAGACTTACACTGCCCTGTGCCCAACCTCTTTCCTTTGGAATGCCACCTGACCTCCCCCCGACCCTGCAACAGTGCTCTCACAGTGGGGGTGGGGGAGGGGAACTCCTTAGGGAAGGGTGCACAGTGAGCAGCGCCCGTCTCCCAGTGGGCACCGCCCATCAAGGAAGGGCTCTTGTGTCGCCAGAGGTGAGGGGCAGAGAGCTCTCCAGCTTCAGGGGCCTCCTCACACCTGGGTCCCTGCCCAGCAGCCTTTGCAGAGCCCGAGGAAGGTATGGAAGTTCAGCTTCCAAGGATGCAGACTGAGCCCTCATTTTTCAGGGCAACATTTCCAATAAGGCCAGAAATTCTCCTCGGACATTCTGACCCAAAGGTGGGAGCTGGTAATGGGCCCCCAAAGACTTCCTCTTAGGGCTTGCCCTGTAGGACCTCAAAGGGCAGAGCTGATTTTCTAGGTACGCAATGGGCCCGAACAGTGATCTGCATCGTAGCCACGGGTTTCGGGGTTTCAGGAAGACTGAGCAGCATTTCCTCATTCCAGAAAACCAGCAGGGCCTGTGAGTGTGACCTGGCACTTCAGCCCCAGAAGGCCAGCTGGGGGACGCTCAGGGGGATGAGTTCCCAGGAGGGCTCCAGATCTGGGTCCTGGCCTGGAGACCACTGAGGGCCCTGGTGCCCCCGACCACCATGAAGTTCAAAGTGACACTAAAAGATATCACCATACTGCAAACTAACCTAAGTCCATCTGGTCATAAATCTCAGGTTTCGTTGTTTGCTGTTTGGCCCATTTGTTTGACAGCAGCCGCTGACCACTTTGAGGAAGTGAAGGCAGACCTCATTATCAGGTCGAATAAAAGCAGGCCTCCGATCACATTCTGCCACACGTGTAGGTAATTTTTGAGCAACTATTTATTTGCAAATGGGCCTGGCAGCGATCACACAGCCTGTTCTCTGGGCTGGTTGCAGACATCTGTGTCTCTATATGCCCTGACCGCACCTCTCTTGAGGTCTCACTACATTCTTTCACTGGCTCTTTTAAGAGTCAAGTGCATCTCGAAATTCATTTGGCCAACCCTCATATCTTGAATACCTCTGCTTTCACCAAGGAGAATGCATTTGCCATGTTTACTCTGCTAACTACCAAATGCCTGGTGTTGAGCAGACAGAAAGACAGCCAAAGTGCTTGCCGTAGCCCCCTCCGGAGTGGGGATGCTGCCTGAGGCTGCCAGCCAGGCGTGGCAAGTCCCAATTTGAATGCACACTTCTGAAATGCCACTTGTTGCAACTAGCCTAACGATACCCCAGAGGACATCTCAGACCATGTCTGTGAAGGGTTTAAGATCAATAACAGACGCCCTCCCAAGGAAACACAAGACAACAGCCCTGCCCTCAAGGAGCATGGAGTCTGGCTAGGGTGTCAGGTGAGAAAGACAATTGGTGACGCCCAGAGTGCTGGGCTGACAGGAGAACGATGTTCCGTACATTCTGGAGCACATAGCTGAGCTTGAGCAAACTTGAATGATTGGCAGCCGTCCCCTTTTTTGATAGGTCCAGGAAAGGTCCAACCAAGGGCTGCCGTGGCAAGAGGGTGAGTTTTATTAGAGGCCAAACTAAGAAGTTGCATACGCTCTCTCCAAGTCTATCTCATTGGCTCCTTCTAAGGCTTTGAGGTAGGTTCCCTCATGATCCCCATTTGGTGGATGAGGAGCCTGAGGACTACAGGTTAAATCGACGAGCTGGGTTCATAGAATTAGCTGGCCTGTCACCCTGCCCAGTACCGCCCCATCCCTAACCTGCTCCATTTCTTTCTCCTGCTCCCAATTCCTTCCCTCTGTTAGGTGTGAGTGCAGGCAGCTCAGAAGCCCAGTTAAGTTCAGCTCCAATTGACATAAGTGTGGACCGAGGTTACTCATCCTGTTTTCTATTCTGCCTGTGTAGTGCCTGAGCCAAATGTCTCCTCCAAGCCCCAGGATAGGGGGCGTTCTGCACCTTGGGTTAGTTGCAGGCAGCACCACATGTTGCTAGCCAGGCTGAGGCCGCTCTGGAACCATCTTCAACTCCCCACCCCAGAGTCATTAGGAAAGGCCCCAACCACACAAAGGGAAACTCTAAGAGCCCTTCCACCCCCTGGGAGGTCAGCAGGTCCAGACAAAGTATGAAAGCGAAGGGACTCGCATCAGTACAGAGCACACCGTGAAACCTCCTAGGACATCCTTGTGACACCATTGGGTTTTGGAACTTGCAATGCAGAGGAAGATGGAAAGCCAGTCATCAGAACAAATCCCACTTGAGCTGGAGTTTGTTGATTCTGCTCATTTGAAGTTAGAGCCAAGGACCTCAGGGATTTGGATGGTCCTAAATCTGCCTCGTTTGGAGGGCTGAGCCAGTGCTAGTTAGGGGCCACTTTGTGGGGCTGCACCTCGCAGGGCGAGGATGTGCATCCTCAGCTGTGAATGGTACCCTGAGTTTCGGTCAGCTGTGACATGTTCCCTCTTCTCAAAGCTTCGCATAGCCAGACACCGGCTCAGACTGTGTTCTACGTTGATCTCTACAAATTGCCTTAAAGGCCACTCTTTCTCTACTTTCTGCCACCTAATCCCTGCAGCCATAGCCTTAGCCAGAAATTTCTGTGGTCACATGTAGCCATTGACTGGGGTGACCACAGGTGGCTTCAGCCCTCCCTGGGCATCTCTGCCTTTCAGGAGTTTTCATGGAGGAAACCTCTGCTTCAGACTCTGCCTTTCCCATGGTTGATCCCCTCCGGACTCTCAGATTCCCAGACACCTTTCTCCCAGACTGTCAGAGAGGGGCAGCCCTTTCCCAGGCCCTCGAGGCCTTGGAAGGGACACAGTGGCGTCTGCTCTGGGTGGCCCAGCAGCCCCTCCCAGCAGCAGCCCTGCACTTTTCCTCTCCTTTCAGTGAGGCAATAAATCAGAGCTATGGCTCCCAGGAACCAGGGTCTGCCCCTACCCATAGGGAAGCGCAACTCTTTCTTGGTGATTTTCTTGGCAAATTCTTTCACTGGGCAAAATGGTAGGAAAGGTCTCCACGGTCCCAGCCTATGGCAGAGGCCTGTGAGTCTGCTCTAAGCATCCAGGAGTGAACACATCAATTATTCAGCACAGACCGAGCACTCTGAATTTGCAAAGATCTTAACAAGTATTTTTATAGATTCTTGCCTCACAGTATCTCAGCAAGACAAAGCAAGGTTTCCCTGTATTCTAGACAACAGAAGCTCAGCCTGGAATCAAGACCAATCCAAGCCAGCCCACCCCACTGACAGCACTGTGTGACCACGGCAAGTCTGGCAACTTCTCAGGTTTGTGGTTGTTCCGTGGTATAAGTCTCAGGAAGGTCTCTCTGGCCTAGGCCATCGTGTGTGGGGGGAAAAAAAATTGTAAACTGCAGAGTGATTTCAGAATGTCTGTGATGGCTCTTGTTATTCCAGGCGTGGGAACGGAAGCTTCGGGTAACACGCTGAGGTGCGGCACAGGATGCCGCGGACTGCCCTGCACTGAGAGCTACACTCGGGTAAGTTGGCTCCTCTGCCTCTGCCCCCTGTGGCTGTGGCTTTGTGACCTGATGACAGCCCCGCAGGCTGCTGTGGCTTCAACTCTGTGCACGTTGGGGTACAAGGAAGCGTAAAGGCCATTGCACCAAGATGCATGTCTGAGAGAGAGAAGCAGGAGACTGAGAGGGGAAGTGAGTTTCGATGGTCACTCAGAGTACGACGGGGCCCCTGACTCCCGGGCCAGGGGCTCTTCCCTCTGCTGCCCAAGGCTGGGCCTCCAAAATGGTTGTCTCATTCTCATCCCCCAGCAGTGGTGCTAGGACCCTGGGAGAAAGGGTGCCTAGGGCTACAGGAAGCAGGAGAGTCAAGGGGAGCGAGGAACACAGGCCTCCAGGGCTCCCTGCCCCCTTCACACACACCTGCGCATCCCCCCACACTGGCGGCCTCAGGTCCAGGCACTGCAGCCAACCCTTGGCCTGGCTCGGAGCCAACTTGCCTCCCCTTCCCCTCCCCCTGCACCAACAGAAGCTCAGTGGACAAATAAAATGAGTTCTGCCTGGTAGCAGGCACTTTGCTCAAGTGCCTAGAAGGATTTCACATTCAGGAGTGGCAGACCGTCTCTTAGGTTTGGTACTCTCTTGGCCAGGCCCTGCTCCCCGAGGACGGCTCCAGCCCGGGAGAGGGCAGACCCTCGGGCTGCAGTAGTTCCACTCACCAGTGCCACTGGAGAGGCACTTCTGTCTGGGTGCTCGAGCCTCCTCCTCCTCGCTTTCCCAGATGACTTTCACGGGAAAACAAAACAGTAACATCAGAATATTTAAATGTTATTATCTGCTCCCGGGATTCCTAGAGACACTGGGCTTTCAAACGTTGAAAGTCTGTAAAGTGTGTGTTCCTGTTACTTCATTACGTGTGAAGCCACTTCTGGGCACGGTCACAACAGTGGACTTGGGTTGAAATGGTGGTTCCTTCACTTGCCTGCCTGTGGCCTATAAAGAAGGGACAATATAGTCCTACCCAGGGGTCATTTCAAGGGTTCAGCTGGACATTTGCACAGCGCCTGGCATGTAGTGGCACTGGGTAAAGATTCTCTCCCCCTCTTCCTCTTGATGCTAAGAATTTTTATTTGTCGCTGAGTTCAGATAGACACACAATGACCATTTATGTATTTGTTTCATTTACCTGTACGGAAGACATACTTTAAAGCTGAACTGGTTATATCAGGCAAGCAGCTGTGAGTAGTGTGGGAAAGAATCAGAGACAGGTTGTGCCTTCTAGGATCTCACAGAAAGGATGCTGAGCAAAGACGCATCTGACCACCTAACTGGCACATAAGAAATGTTACCAAGTCATACAATTCAAGAAGACGAGTGGTCAGTACCTAAGATCGGTGTAGAAAAGTGCTAAAAAAGTTGTGAGGGAAGGACGTGATCAGTTCCACTCAGAAAGAGCAAGGACTGTAGACTGAGGTGGTGCACCAGGCTCAGAGACTTAGCCAAGTTCAACCATGAGGTTGTGGGGAAAGAATAAAACATAGAGTTGAGACCAGCTTCCCAACAACCCTCATCCTCTAATTCAGACTCACTAACAACATCTTGACTTTGAAAGTCTTACCCATGAACCTGCAGGAGGTCCACTGGGCAGGAAACTACTGGAGGTGTGAAACACTCACGCTAGAATTTGTTCCCTGATTCACAGCATTGCAACCTTCAGCATTTATCGGACATCTGTTTGCAGAGCCCGGTGCTCAGGACACCAGAGAGAAAGTTATGCTCTTCCCCTTGAGGAGCTAGATGTCTTGTTAAGGAGACAGGACACTCTCAGAGTTCAAGGTCATATAGGCCAGTGTGCCATGAGCATGGTGGAAGCTAGTGCCAGAATTGAGAGGAAGAATGGCCTAGAAGGGGGGGTGTCCTTGAGGGCTGAGGGGAGGAGACAAACCCTCAGCTGAGCCCTAAAGCAGACCTTTAGAATCCACGAGGAGCAGGGAGTTCCCAGACAGGCTAATGACAAACAAAGGAGCAAAAGAGACTGCCCAGGAAGTTCCCCTTTATTCATCCATCCATCTATTCATCCATTCATCCATTCAATCACTCATTCATTCAGTCAACAAGTTTACTGAGCACCTACTATGTGCCAGGCACTGTTCTGAGTGCTAGGGTCACAGCAATAAACAGAAGGTCACTGCTCTCAAGGAGCTTACATGCTGGTGAGTGAAATGCCATAAACAAGCAAACAAGTCAACATCTGGCCTCCATGTGGGAGGCAGTGACATCTGAGTCCATGTGAGTGAAGTGGGCATGTAACATCAGGGAGAAATCAGGTGACAGAGCCAAGGCTGAGGGCACAGAATATAGCCTCAGACTCTTAGAAGAGATGGCTGGATTTTTACAATGGTTTGCTGCTGGGAAGACATGCGGAACAATCCAGGAAGCAAACAGATAGCTTCCAGAAAGCGGACCGTGGAGGGTTCTCCTGTGTGGGAAGCTCGCAGCCCCTGCAGCAAGCTCTCCTCTAAGGCGTAGATCAAGGGTGCACTTGAGGAAGACCCTGCTGTCACATGCGCCCTTGATACTACCCCACTTCCCTTACTAGCATTCCCCCTGTACATGGGAACATGCACGCAACAGTGTAACCCACCCCTGCGCCCCACTCCTCTACACAGGCACACACAGTGTCCCGACGCAGCTCCCTCCTGCCACACACACATAATAGGAGCCAAGGGTCTGGTCTCTGGAGGATGTCATTTCCCCATCTCAGACGCTCTCAGTACCAGCTCTGACCAAGACCTGGAATAAAGATGAGCCAGGATGGATGATCTGTGTAGAGCCAGACCAGCGGGAGTCTCCTTCTGCTTCGGTCACCATGGCAACCTCTGACAAGGAGAGAAAACACAATTTCTGGCAGCTCCTGGAAGCTCCCTGGCTCCTATGGGCAGCTCTGTGGGGTGTAGGCCTCTGTCCCCCAGTTTCTCGGCCCCTGTCATTAGCGCTCCCGCAAGTCTGTAGAGCACAGACGGGGATTTCCCAGGCTCCCTCGGGCGCTGCCGGAGATCAGTCCAGAGTTCTGACCCCAAGCTCTCTCTTTTAGATGAGCATCAGGGTTCATGAGTAACCCAGACCAAAAAGCCTGCCTAGTCACAGCTCCCGTGTCTGGGTCTCAGACCTATTGACCTCACCTCCACCTGTGGAGAGAAAGGCATTATCTGCTTTAGATAAGGAAAGAAAAAGGTTCAGGTGAGTGTGGCCTGAGCCCTGAATCTCTTTCAGATTATAAACACATTATAGTCTTCTGTCCCCCACCCGCCCCGCCCCAGCCCTTGCCCTCACTCCCATGTTTCATCCTCGCTGTAACTCTACAGGGTAGACGCTGCATCAACCTATTTTTGAAAGAGGGGCAGAGGCCTGACTGGTGTGGCTCAGTTGGTTGGGCATCGTCTTACAAAGTGAAAGGTCACTGGTTTGATTCCCAGTCTCGGTACGTGCTTGGGTTGCGGGTTCGGTCTAAGCCATGGCTCATACAAGAGGCAACCAATTAATGTTTCTCTCTTACGTTGATGTTTCTCTCCCTCTCTTTCTCCTTCTTTCTCCCTCTCTCTAAAAATAAACAAATACTGTAATTAAGTAAATAAGTAAGTAAACAAAGAAATCTTAAAAAAAAAAAAAGAGGGTCAGAGATCCATGCAGGTGAGGCCAAGTGACTCCCTGAGTCTCACAGTTTCCACTAGAGGTGGCTCGGGCTCAGAATGCAGACCTACAGCCTGGGGACCTGGGGACCTGGGGTCCTCCCCCTCCCCTGGTCTCAGCCCCATCAGCCTCTGGCCCACTCTCAGTTGCAACCTGCAGGCCCTGCTTTGGTCTCAGGTAGAAAGTGGGAACGGGCAGCTCTGCTGAGGGGTGGGAGGTGGGCCTGGCCTGACTGAGACTGGAAGCCAGAGTAGGTGCTTCAGCCCCCTTTCCTGCAGCCCCCTGCCCCCGCTGCTCCCACGCATTGGCTAAGGATGGGGAAGGTGCTGGCTGTCCTGAAGCCACTCCTGACCTCAGGGAGTGACTATGTCTAGTGAGGGTTTTAGGCTTGGCAGCACATGAAACACGCACAACAGCAGTGCTGGCTTTTAGGAGTGAGCCCTCTGAACTGATTCAGGAGCATGGCAGCCCACAGAAGGAGAAGCTGAATGAGCAGGTGGCAGAAGGCTCAGCAGTAGATATCAGGCCAGAGGCACTGTCCCCCAGAAGTGGGCTTCCCTGCTATAGTCTGTCTCCTGTGGGGACATTTCTGCATGAAGCATTGGCTTCACTGTGGTAAAGGATCCTGCAGGATCCGAATTTCCACAGCAAGGCAGGCCGGGGTGGGGAGTGATATTTTAAGCGTCCCTTCCAGCCCTCATGTCCCTACCATTTCCTGTTACCCACTGCTCTGTTGCGGGACACCAGGGCTGGTGGGCAGGGCCTCACAGTGTGTGCACAGCAGTCTGTGGCTCCGCTGCTGAGCGTGCTGAATTTGTCACCAAGCCTGAAACCAGAGCATGCCAGTTTATGCACAAGGACCCACGGGTGGCACTTCCGCTAGGAGGAGGAGTGTTAAGTGTAAATTCACACCTATGGAAATTGTTGTTATATCCCCACCGAGCATTACCTGTAGTGGAGTGTAAGTTTAGAAACCTGTCAACTATGAATGCAGATGGACTCTCAGTGAAAAGCTCCTTTTAGGGGACAATGGTCACCCACCCTGTGCTTCTCACTGGAGGTAGCATCAGGCCCTCCCTCCAAGGGACACATGGAAATGTAGGGAGGGGAGTGACATTATTTCATGCCACTACTTAGCCCTCAGTTATACATTTTGCCTTCCCAAATGAACTGTACGTTCCCTCTCATGTCAGCCAGGGCTGTTGGTTGTAAACAACAAAAAATAATGTTGCTGTAAGGCATTCGCACAGCTGGCAGGAGGTGAGGACCCCAGGGAGAAAACAGGCAGAAGCAGTGCAGCTTGGAAAACAGGCAAGAGGCCCCGGAAGTGAAAT